AAAATAAAAAACATCACTCATACTTTTATATTCTTAAAGAATATAACTGAAGAAGAAATGCAACTGGTGAAATAAACAACTGTTCATAAATAAACAAATATTATTCTATTCAATTTTCATTCTAAAAGTTGAACAGAAACAATAAATGAACATTTAACATCTTTTTTTTCAATTGTCTCAAGGATTTTATTCATGAAAAGCTCATTGATCAATGTTTCATCATTGAATGATTGACTGTCGACATCACTACTCGTAAAGACTCACTCATAATTTCTGAATCCACAATTTACAAGTAAAAGAAAACGTTTTTAGATATTGAAGCTTATTTTTGATAAAAGATAAGAAAATGGCTATACCTTGATTGCGGACATTATTTTCGACTAATTAAGGAAAAACGTCCGCAATCAAGGATCAGGGAGGAGAGAAAAAAATGTCCGCAAAGCAAAATCAGTAGGAGAGAAAAAGAATGACCGCATTGTGGAAACGAGACAAGATTTATTATATGAAAAAAATTACAGGGAAATAGTTATTGAAAAATAGTTGAACATCTAAATAGTTTTAGGTTCATAATCATAATCATCTTTGTCAGCTGTATCGAATAAATGAATATATCGATAAAAGAGTGGACGTCATTTTTTTTGATAACGATAGAGATCCAACAAACCGTTTAAATATTCTTATCTTGCTTGAATCAAAATATCATCATCCTTCACTGATCTAAGTCTTCTGGGACGTGTCGTACGTTGTTGAGCATATTCTTGATCAACCCGAACCATTGTTGATTCTTCAGATTCTTGTGTGTATCTTATCCAACTATCTACACGGGTTATCTTACTATATTTATTTTCAATTCTTTCCAAAATGCGGACACTTTTCTCTCTATATTCGATTCCAGACCGCGGCTATTTTCCAAACTGCGGTCAGTTTTGTCTCTCCCCCCCTGATTCTTGATTGCGGACATTTTTTTCCACTAATTAAGAAAAAACGTCCGCAATCAAGAAGACACGGAAAAGAAGTACATCCACACCCATATCATAGGTGTAGATTAAAGGGATACTTCGACTCATACCGACACTCAACACCCCACAGGCATACCCACACTCACACCCACATCCCGATGTAGAGATAAACGATGAATCGAACTCAACGCGCTTGTAGGTTCTGTCGTTATTGTTGTCAAATATTGCGAGTATGAAGATATCTTATGTTGATCTTTATCACGACTGTTTGACAAATGTAGTTGATAGAGTATTGAATATCATTTTCGTTACTAATATATTTTGTTCCTTGGTAAACTAATAAATTATATGCTTTATGTTTCAATATTGAAAGGGATTGAGTATCTGTTTGATTCTTCGAAAGACATACACTCGAGACGCTGATTCATTTCCAAACAGAAAAGCAAAAGAGACCTTTCTGTCATGTTTGCGTAAGATAAGTCTATAAAAGAACATGCGCATATTGTTGACATGCACACAGATAAAGTTGCACTAATGTCGCTAACAAGTGACTTAAAGCATCAAATATTCTCGACTTTTTTCTTTTGTATCATATTTTTTTGTCTGCCTTCAATATCAACAGCAACTAATCCGCCGCCACAATGCCGATTTCTAAATCCTGTACATGATTCGGCAGCTGAAACTGCGCTTCTTGGCTATTTTTATAACAGTGAACCATTCAATTTTAGTGAGACAAATTATTTTCAACCCCAGTGTTTGCTCTGTGAAAGTTATCATAGAGAACTTTGTTTCGGGTATAAAGGTGGATCATTGTATGGTGTAAAAAGTACTAATAGTGCTACAACACAAGTGGTCGCCAATTTGCCATATATTTATTCGTTAGGATGGAAGGTTGGTAATCCATCTACAACGGTGTCTGCTATTGTCACTTTACGTGAAAATATGGAAATTTCCTATCGTACCCTTTTACGTTTCAAGGTACAAACTTATTGAAAAAAATTCTGATTTTAATGTAGATTAAGATCTATAGGGAATAGCAACACTGGATCCCATCATCAGCACAAAATTCATTACTCTGCGACTTTGTGTGAAATGTCTTTTGGGAGACACGAGAGAATACTCTCTGAAAGTAACTGGAGAAGTGTTTAATCTTGCCATTCATCTATTTGTCAATACAATTACAGTCGGCGAGACTAATAAAGTGATTATCACAGGGAACAAACAGGTGCGAATCAATTGCGACCATAGCAATGTGACTGTCAAATCCAATGGTGTTCTTCCAGACGATTCAAAATGTTCCACTGGATCTTGTCTTGGTCAGTAAAAGTTTATCAACATAGAAAATCTCTATCAGTGAACATCTATATCAAATAGTGATAGTATTCATCTGAATACCCACTGATTTTATCGTGCGACCTGAGTTATTTCAAATCGCTTACTAGATAATTAAAAAATGACT